GTTGAATATTCATTAGATGCAGCAATTTTTGGTTCCTACCCATCAGACACAGGTTCAAACCAGAACAAGTGCTATATTATTCTGCAAACAATAGACTCTCCACTGATGGGATCTTGGTGGAATGAATGAATATGAACCTGAACAAAACACAGCCGTGCAACGTCAGCATTCTGAGGAAATGACATAAAGCCAAATCTAAGCTCTGCCAACAGGCCTCGTTTTTCCCTGTACCTCTCAGCTCGTCCTTGGCAATTCACTTTTATAACCTTCCTTGTTCACTCCGATCATTTGTTACGAGGCTAGAGAGAATTTCCTTCTTTTTGCTGGTTTACCATTCTTTGTGGAATCTTGCATCCACTTGATCAACTGCCATCTGCATGGCTTTTCTGCACTTACTCTGACAATAACCACACTTTTTAAAGTGCACACAGCACAGCCAAAGGAGGGGGTCCAGACCATAGCCCAGGGCCATGGCCAGTGACCACAGCCAGAAAGTCAGAACGCTGTCCTCTATTTCCAGTTCTCCCACTGACCCTGACAATGAGCCAGGGCTTCTGCAACGCTCCATTGTCCCCATCTCTACACCAGGACATGGTGGCCGTGAACGTGTAGCAACTGGTCAAACGAGATGGCATGGATACAAACATTCCCCCCACCCATAAACCTGCACACACGGGCGTGTCACACACACACAATTACTCCTACATTTAGTATTTGCACAATAATTTGAACTGTAGTTAAAAAAGAAACCCCACTCACTATAGAAATTCAATAAGGGGTTGACTTTAAATGAACACAATACCACTTTATTTGTCTGAAAACTATAAACAAAGTCGATCACTAAAGTCAATGAGTAATATAGCACGCATTTCGAAGGCACCAAATCTGGTTCGGGTCCCACTTCAGCACCTAATAGTTCTCTGACTTTGGTGGGGCAGGTTACTCAGTTTCTCCGAGGCTTGATTTACCTATAAAGGGGTGGGGTGGGTGCGAGAATCTCTGCTTTATAGGCTGTATAAGAATTTAGCAGGTTAACGTAAGTCAGGTGCTTAGTTCATGGGAGGTGTGTTTTAAGATGTGGTAGCTTGAAAACATGTTTTTAAATTCTTAGACAGTCATCCAGCTGAGAGGTTGGGTCTAGGTCCTCAATATCACTCCAAATACGACTAGCAGGGTACCAGGGCCTGAGACTGGCGCTGGCCAGGAAAATTCTAGGATGAGGGTGTAGATGAGAGTGCACATGCAGATGCGTGAGTGGACTATTAGTTTTCCACTGCTGTGTCACAAATTACCACAAACTTGAAATCCTACCTCTTTTTTTTTTTTTAAAGATTGGCACCTGAGCTAACAATTGTTGCCAATCTTTTTTTTTTTTTTCTGCTTTATCTTCCCAAACCCCCCGTACATAGTTGTATATCTTAGTTGCAGGTCCTTCTAGTTGTGGGATGTGGGACGCCACCTCAATGTGGCCTGACAAGCGGCGCCATGTCCGCGCCCAGGATGCAAAACCTGGGCCGCTGCAGCGGAGCGCACAAACTTAACCACTCGGCCACGGAGCCGGCCCCATAAATCCTACCTCTTCATAAGCTCAGAGTTGTGTAGGTCCGAAGTCCAATCACAGCATAGCTGGGTTTTCTGCTCAGAAGATGAGGGTCAGGCCAAGATTTTTGGGCGCCTCTGGAAAAAAACCCATGTTTAAGGGCATCCTCGTTCTCAGCAGAATTCAGGTCTTTGAGGTTGTAGGACTGAGGTCCTGTTTCCTTGCTGAGTGTCAGCTTGCTCTCAGCTCTAGAGTCTACCCACATCCTGGCTACACGGCCCTTTGATCTCGAAGCCAGCAAAGGTACTTGGCATCCTCGGGCTTCGAATCTCTGACTTCCTCTTCTGGAACTAGCCAGAGAAAGCTCAGCTTTGAAGAACTTGTGTGATTAGGTCAGGCCCACCTGGATGATTTCCCTATGTCAAGGTCAAGTTAAGACTATATAATATAACCGAATCATGGGAGTAAGATCCATCATATTCACAGTCCTAGAGATTATGTACAGGGTACACAGGCTGGGGGGCAGGGAATTCGGGGGGTGATCTTAGAATTCTGCCCACAGTAGGTGGGACTGCTGCTTCTCCCAACAGTATACCTGGGGGCTCCTGAGAACAAGTCTCCCAGCCAGCTGGCCAGCACTCCCTCCCTTCCCCAGCCTAGCTCGGCAATTTCAGGTGACCTCGGCAAAGAGAGCTGGGGACAGTGTGTGTGCCTGATGGGTACCACAGAGCTGAGACAGGGAAATTTCCCCTGGGGCTTGCTGTCCCAGTACTTAGTCTGTTGTTCTAACCAACACCCAGTTGTCTGTATTAGAATGGAAAGCCCTAGTACATCAGGGCCCTGCCCAGCTGGTTTGGTCAAGCCAAGTCTCACCCTTGTGCTCCAGGGACATCACCTGAGGATGATTATTTAACGTAACCTCAATGTAACGCTGACACTTTAAGGCTGGGAAAGCCTGTACGATTCTCCTGCCCCTCTGCCATCACTCTTCTTCCTTGACAGTCTGGTGCCGTCTGCATGGATGGCATTCATTTATTCAAGAAAACATTTACTAAGGACCTACGGCATGTCTGTGCCAGTAAATGCATGACCTCATCTGGATTTTTATGGTAGCCTCCTAACTAGTCTTCCTGCTTCCACCCTTGCCCCTCTACAGTCTATTTTCCACACAGATGCCTGAGGATCTTTTTCTAAAAATAACTTATACCAAGCTACCCCTCTGTTCAAACCCTGTTATGGCTTTTCCACTCTTCTACAGTAAAAGCCTATAAGCCACAGCCTATAAAACCTGAAGGATCTGGGCTTCTGCTGCCCCTCTGATCTCATCTCCTATCTGAATGTCTCTCCCAATCTGCTCCAGCCACCCTGGCTTGCTGTTATCCTTCCCTGAGGCCAAGCACTTCTGCCTCAGGACCTTTGCACACACACTTGTCTTTCTAGACTGCCTTCCCCAGGATTCCAGCTGCAATGAAAGGCCTTGCTGGATAGAAGATCTGCCCTTGGACATCCGGGTCATTCTGGACCAGTGAAACTCTTTCTCCTGGCTTTCCTCCCTTCTTCATCCTCACCCATTCAAGTGATGTGTCTTCCACAGCCCAGTTTTAAAACAAGGACAGTCCTGGCAAAGGAGAGAGATGAAAAACAAAGAAAGAAACAACCAAAACCCCTGTGTTTTTACGACTTTGGGAATTGTAGAGACTTTAGGCATGTCCTCACAAACTGCTTTATAAAGAGCCATACTGCATGCTATCAAGAGGGGGCCTGTACCTGGGTGCTGCAGGAAGAAAGAATGAGAATGCCTGTTCCTCAGGTAACTCTACTTGGTAGCATAGCAAGCAAAACTTAGATTCAGCACAGTACTTTAATAACCTACTTGTTTTTAAGTGTGTTCCTAATTCTGCCCTCCTTTTGTTGTTAACCTCTCATAAAAGGTACTTCTACTGTTATTGATGGACAACACATAGAGGAAGCGGTACAGAAGACTCAGATCAATGAATTCTCATAAAGTGAGGACAGCCATGTAATCACCACCCAAAGAAACAGTGTTTAATGGAAAAAGAACATCCAACTATGGAAGAATTTTCTTTTTGTTCTCTGAGACAGCAATTCTCTACACCTGGAGTCTGTATACTCCTTGAGCTATGTAAACTGATGCCTGCTAGTAGCTATGGGAATTCCAGGCATAGCATCAAAAGAAAATAATCCAACCTTTGGTGAGCCTTGCAAATATGAATTGCTTTTTAGTGATGGAAAATTTTACATAACTGGCATTTAAAAATAAATGTTTTTAATAAAAACAAGAGTACACATATGACTGTGAACATGTTTCCTTCTTTTGGAAACTACTCCTTTGGGTTTACTTGGCTACATCAGCTGTTCTTGATTCCAGTTTGCATGGAGGTGAAAGAAATATAGACAGAAGGCTCTACGTTACCAATGATGCAGTTAGAATTGTTGCAGAAATGACGGTGGCAGCTACACGGTACAAGTCTGCCTTTTTTTAGATGATTCCTTTTTAAACAGCAAGAAACTGAGGCCATTTGACTGGTGTATATCCCCCTGGAGGTCCTGCGTGGGCACAAACCAATTAAGTTGAGCACTCACTGAAACTGCTTTCCCAGCCAGGATGGAGGTTGATTGATCATTAAGTCAAAATGTTCACCTGTTAGACTGAAAGAGTTTACAGGTAGATCGGGCCCAAGGCCATTGACACTCCATTTCACTGGCTGAAACACTTCAAGTGGTTAAGTGAGGCGGGGGAAAGCCATTTAATTCTCTGCACCTGGTGATGGTCCAGCTGGGTCTTGCGTTGGTCTACGATTATGGCATGGAGGTAGGAAGCGGGAACTGCTCTTTATACGCATGGCCGAAGACTGGAAGTACGCCTAAACCAGTGGTTTTCAACCTCCGTGGACTTGAGAAGTAGCCGGGGAATTTAAACAACAAAAAGAGAGCCAGATGCTTAGGACTTGCCCAAGACCAATGACTCTGAATCTCCGGAGGTGGAGCCAGGCATCGAGCAGGTTTAATCACGTAATTCCACCCTGCAGCTGTGGCTGACAACGCGGAGCAAACAGTTCGACTCGGTAGCAAAGCCTCCTCTCTTGAGGAGGGCTTCCAGGACCCAAACCTCCTTCAGAAGGGTTGTCCCCGAGCCTGGGGGAATTTCAGCTCGCTGGTCCGGGTCCCAGAGGCAGAACTCGGGCAACTAGTTTAGCAAGAGACGGTCTCATGCACATCACCGTGCAAACACGCCTCGTGAGCCCGGCGCTAAGGCTGAAGTATAGCGACCCGGAAACGGCTCGAATAAGACCGGAGCCCCCAACCCCCAACCCCTGTAGGGGCAGACACCGCCGCGCGCACCGAGGCCGAGAGCTGAGGGCGCAGGCGCGGCCCGAGGAGTGGCGCGGAGGCGCATGTGTGGACAGCGACTGAGCGCTGAGGCGCATGCGCGGCGGGGAGGGCGGTGCTTCCGGCCGGCCGAGGTGGGGCCTGAGGCACGCGGGGGGCGGAACCCGTACCTCGGATTGCGACCGGGACCCCGCCGGCGACCCGGGTCGCGACCTCCACCCATCCCACCCATATGGCCCGGCACGTGTTCCTGACGGGGCCCCCAGGTAACCCCGCTTTCGTCCACCTCCGGGATGCCGAGGGGGGCCCATGGGGGAGGGGGACGTGGGGGGCGCGGTCCGCGCTATGGGGGAGGGGCGGCCGGCTCCAGGGCTCGGACTGCTGGCCTCCAAAATTCCCGATTTAGATGACAGGCTTGGTGGTTTGAAGCCTGCCTATCCTTTCCCAGAAAACGTGATTGTAAGTCCATAAGGTAGATAGGATTGGAAATGAAGCCAACAATGGAAAGAGAAAGAACGGACTCGTGATGTGGTCATATATGGACTTCTTTATCAAGATATTAAATCGCAGGGTCCAGCGGCGGCAATAACATCTACTGTAGTGTTGATGTTGTGGTGTGCACAAACCACATTTCAGGATAGCTGCCACAACCGTGATTGACAGGAAGGTGTCTGATGTCTACGGATAGGCGCACGTGCTGGCCTGCTGTGACTCTGGCCTACAGACCTAAGGAAAGGAAGGGCGGAATTTCAGTCGAAGGAGAGTGCAACTGAAGATGTAGCCTTTTTCGCCCCGTCCAAGTTCACGGACCGCCTGAATTCCCCCCATGCATGAGGCTGCAGGTTGAGAAGACTTGATACTTAGAGGAACTCCTTCTCCGTCTCAGACCCTTTGTCTGTGCCTCTCCCCCTAATGCCTGTCATTGGGCAAATCCCTCGACCCTATGGGAATATGTGAATGGGATGGCGTTTTCAAATGAGAGACTAGAAGAGGAGCTGCTTTTTAAACCGAGGTGCTAAACATGTATCGGGCATGACTAAGAGAAGAGGCAGGAAGGTGGGGGCAGCATCAGATAGGCTAAGGAAGAAAGATGTCTTAGGAGAGAGTGATTTCTTCCTCTCCTTTGCAAGGTGGGTCTAACTTTCAAGTTAACTGTGAGTTCAGATATCAAAGATTGTAAATCTGGGCCTGGAATTCTCTTTCACTTTATTTTATAATGATTATGTTTAGCCTTATGTAGTGAAGGCTACACTTAATGTTGCAGACTTGAAACTTTTTGCCAGGCAATGGGGAAGCAGTGAGGAGGAGGATGGTTTGAGAAATTTCTGATATCCAAAGGTACTCCCTAGTATTGCAAAGGACTGTTTTCTGAAAGTTGATTTGTCAGTCCTTTATTTGAAACTTGGAATGCCATTTTCACAGCAGGCTGGCCCTAAGACATCTATGTGTTTCATAACAGAGGAGACCTGTTATTGTGATTGTTTCTGCCTGAGTCCTGGAGGTGTGTGGGGACAGAGGTTGGCCAGGCCAGCACTGGGTCTTGTTTTTTCCTTCTTTTATTTATTTATTTTTTTTGGTGAGGAAGAGTGGCCCTGAGCTAACATCTGTTGCCAATCTTACTCTTTTTGCTTGAGGAAGATTGTCCCTGAACTAACATCCGTGCCAGTTTTGCTATATTTTCTGTATGTGGGATGCCTGCCACAGCATGGCTTGATGAGCGGTGTGTAGGTCCGTGCCTGGAATCAACCTGTGAACCCTGGGCTGCCAAAGCGGAGCACGTGAACTTAACCACTACGCCACTGGCCCGGCCCCTCCGTTTCCTTCTTTATAAAAGTTTTGGGTACACACGGTTGAAAGATGGTTCTACAGTATGGCTTTCTTAAGCCTGTCCTAAAACCCCCTTACCTTCTCTTTCTCCCCATCTTCTTCGTGCAGTTATAATGTGATTTGGATTAACTCAGTAGTCAGTGTTTACAGTATTATGACTATGTAAAAGCTAATCTATAATTTCTTTTCCTTTTATGCACAACTTTTTTTCTCCTTTGTAGTTACTGTCTTGTTGGGGTGTGTGTTTAATTTGTTTGGTATCTATCACCATCTCAGTCCAAACTCTGCCTGCTGTCTAGATCTCTCTGCATGTTCAGACGGTCAGGTAAAGACGTCGCTTTTTGCTGTATATGCTCTCAGTGCCCCACCTATGTCTTCTTGGCACTTAGCATTTTTCCCAACTTCCAACTGTTCAGCCTGTGACCTATTGGAGGGCTTCCTCTGGTCGCTGGAGCCCACTCTGCCTGCACACAGGGCAGGCCTGAAGGCCCAGGGAATTCCTGTCCCCCGGAAGCAGCCTTCGACGCAGGATAGGTGGGAGTTGGTGGATAAATGCCCTACTTCCTCATCCCTCAGACAGGATACCTCTGAGCCTTGTGTCTCCTAGGATTCCCCAATGGGATTAAGCTCCAGCCACCCAGGTGGTAACTTAGCTTGATGATGCGGTTACCTCCCTACCAGTGTGTCTTGGGATCACTTCCCAAATTAAACTACTTACACTTGAATCTTTATCTCAGGGTTGGCTTTATGGGAGAACCAGAGGCAAACTAATTCCAGAGCTTTCTGACCTGCTCTTCTTGTCTGCGTATGGTGTGGGGCTGTCATTTTGGGTCTCCTTCAGAGCAGGCCATTTCTTAGCCAGTGTAGACAGCACTAGGGTAGCCGCTTAATTAATAGAGATGAAAAATTAACTGAAAGAATATTTCTAGAGCTGAAGAGGAGAAAAGGGATTTGAGTCAAATGCCTCCTCTCGCTTTACCATGTCCTACCAAACATACAGGACCCATAGTGTCCCTTTTATTACAGCTGCTCCATTTTATCTTTTTAAAAATGTAAACAGTTTTGTTTTTTCTTAGATTAAGAGTAATACCTACTCACTATAAGACCAAAAAAAGTCAAGAAAGTTTTAAAGGAGAAAATGACAATCATGTGGAATTCCAACATTTGGAAATAAGTATAGTAAACCTTTCCATATTCTTTTCAGTGTTTTCTTCTGTAGGCACATACATACTTCACTTTTTGTTTATTTATTTACTTATTGAGGAAGACTAGCCCTGAGCTAACTGCTGCCAATCCTCCTCTTTTTGCTGAGGAAGACTGGCCCTGAGCTAACATCCATGCCCATCTTCCTCTACTTTATATGTGGGACGCCTACCACAGCATGGCTTGCCAAGCAGTGCCATGTCTGCACCCGGGATCCAAACCAGCAAACCCCGGGCCGCCGTGAAGTGGAACATGCGAACTTAACCGCCGCGCCACTGGGCCGGCCCCATACTTCACTTTTTAAAAAAAGAAAAAACATCATGAAATAATACTGTGTATGTGTGCTGTTTTTTAACCTGCTTTTTCTGCATTTATTTTTGTATATTTTGGTCTGTTTTATGTACTAATAAATATAGGTAAACAGTATTCTCTTTAATGGCTGCATGGTATTGCTGTGTATTTATGTGTCGTCATATACATGGTACCATAATTTAATATTCCCTTACTGAGCAACATTTCCATTATCACTGTTTCTTTGTTTTTTTTTTTTAAGATTGTCACCTGAGCTAACATCTGCTGCCAATCTTTTTCTTTTTGTTTTTTTTCTTCCTCTCCCCAAAGCTCCCCAGTACATAGTTGTATATTCTAGTTGTAGGTCCTTCTGGTTGTGGCATGTGGGATACCACCTCAGCATGGCCGGATGAGTGGTGCCATGCCCATGCCCAGAATGCAAACCAGCAAAACCCTGGGCTGGTGAAACGGAGCGCACGAACTTAACCACTCGGCCGCAGGACCAGCCAACATTATCACTGTTTTGCTGTTGTAAAGAATGCTGGGGTGAACGTCCTGTTTCCTGTATCTTTGTACTGTGGTCAGATTCTTTACTGAGGCTAAATTCCTAGCCACAGAATTGCTGTGTGCTGTGGTGGCCACCATGCCACTTGCCTACATTAAACAGATTCTTTGTATTTTTAAGATTGGCCCTGAGCCAACATCTGTTGCCAATCTTCTTTTTTTTCTTCTTCTCCCCGAAGCCCCCCAGCACATGGTTGTATATTCAGTTTCAGGTCCTTCTGGTTGTGCTGTGTGGGACGCTGCCTCAGCATGGCCTGACGAGCAGTGCTGGGTCTGCACCCAGGATCCAAACCGGTGAAACCTGGGGCTGCTGAAGTGGAGTGCATGAAATTAACTACTCAGCCACAGGGCCAGTCCCTACATTAAACCGATTCTTCAGTGACTTTCCTTTACTGAGCATAGAGCTGGGATTACACAGTTCTCACAGAGCTCCACAGTTCTCTTACTAGCCACAGAGCCTGTGGCTGGGATCCTCTTAGCTTACTGTTCCAAAAGACCAGATGCCATTGTTAGTGTCAAGTTTGGAGGAGAGATTCATTAAATAAGAGTAATGGATCATATTTTATTTCAAGGAAGCTGAAAAGGCTTCTTGGGGAACCTTAATGACTTTTTGTGGGCAGCTGTAGAAATAATTTGCAACCCTGTGTGTGGTGTCTCAAAATAGCTCTATTGCAGACCTGCTAGAAGTTTTCCCGTTTTTGGGTAATCATGATGTCACTGACTTAAATCTTTATGGGAGTAAGGCTTGTATAAACAAAGTCGTGGCGATAAAGGTCCCTGTTAACATATATGGTCCTTAGTAGTTGTGTAACCTTGAATAAGTTTGCCTAACCCCTCTGTGCCTCAGTTTCTCCATCTGTAAAATAGGGACAAGGATGGTAACTGACTCAGGGTAGTTGTGAGGCTTTATCCAAGAAAATGCTTGTGAAGCAAGTAGAACAGTGCCTGGCTCCATGATGTCAGTGAGTCGTATGTTACATAGTGCCTGTTGGTGCTTGTCAACCCCACACGAGTTAATTAGAGCAGTCAGCAGGCTGGGAAGAAAGGAAGGGGTCAGAGGTGTGGAGGTGCATAGCTTCTAATTTGGGAAGGGCTTGGGAGCAAGTCACAGTAATGCTTCCACATGCTGGAGGAGACGATGGAAGGGATTGCCAACCTGATAGGATTGCTTTTGTGAAAAAGTTTAAAAACTACCATTTCTAGGGGTGTTACTGGTATTTAAGAGACAAATTTTCAGGAGACATAGCAATGTAAGTCCCTGGAGGCGTGAAGTGGCTTTGCCAGTGTTCACTGTAGGTCCAGAGTGCCTTAAAGGTTGAAATCCTAGTGTAAAGAGCCCAGCCTTTGACTCAAGCAAGACTAGTTTTACTTCCTAGGTGATTAAGTGTGGCTACCCAAGGAGGAGAGGAACCCCAGGAGAGGATAGAAACTTGTCTCACAGGATGCAAATTGCACTTGAGACTGTCATCAGAAAACCACTTAATTGGTTCTAGGATTGTGTATGTGACAAAATTAATAATGTTTCAGAATTTAACAATAAACTTTAAGATACTATTCATATTGTTGTTATGCTTGTTTCTTCTAGAAATTAAAGTTTTAGCATCTGGAGCAATCAAAATTAAAGCGAAGTTAATATTCATAAAATCCCTTTGCAGCCCATTTCTCTCCCCACCATGATTGCTGTCAGAGTCAGCGAGTATGTGCTCCAGCAAGGGCGTGGTTCCTAATGAACGCTTTTTTTTTTTTAGGAGTTGGAAAAACAACGTTGATCCAGAAAGCCAGTGAGCTGTTAAAGTCCTCTGGTGTGCCTGTTGATGGATTTTACACAGAAGAAGTCAGACAGGGCGGGAGAAGAATAGGATTCGATGTTGTCACGTTGTCTGGCATGCGGGGACCTTTATCTAGAGTTGGGTACTGATGTTTCATTTCTGTGGTGTTTTGTTCTCCCTGGGCACAGTGTTGAGCTGATTGATCTATTCTGTCTTGAAGAATCTTGGGCCTTTATGGATTTCCCAGAGAAAGAGATCAGAGATTGAAACCATCATATGAAAAACACAGTATAAAAATAATCACATTTCACTTAATACTAAGTCCACTGAGTAATAAGCTCTTCTCACTTTGTAATTCATAGCCCATTTCTAGTGCTACTTTCCAAGAACAGTTGGTGCACTAGCTTCCTGGAGCTTCAGGGGTGGACCCGCCAGGGTGACTGTGGCACCCATTGGTGGTGGTGTGCACGCTTAGTGGTAGTCCTGCCCTCAGGACTGCATGGAATCAGATCAGCTTTGCACACCACCACTTTTTGTGTAGGTGATTTTGAAGGATGATTTAGCATGTGTGGAAGGCCAGAGGCTCAGTGGAACAGCTAAAACCTAGAAATCAATACAGGGGTCTTTCAACAAAGAGCATGCTGTGTTTTCATTCAGGTTGGAGCCTCCGCCTGGAAGACGTGAATGCCGAGTTGGGCAGTATGTGGTGGATCTGGCTGCCTTCGAGCAGTTGGCGCTTCCCGTCTTGAAGAATGTGAGTGTGTGGTTTCTGCTTCTTGAGCCCATCTGTTCTTAGTGCATTGTGGGGATTGCTGGCCCTGGGAACAGAGTGGCTTTGGCTCTTAAGGAGACGTCAGTTTTGCATTTTACAGTCTAAAAGTCTTCGAGTGATTTTGCCTTAGTAAGAATATGCAACATAATTTGCTGTCACTCTGAACTACAAGTCAATTCCTTGTCATGTAAGTTCAGCACACGTAAATATTTTATATTGGCAGGGCTCTAAGTCCCAACTACCGAGGTCCCCAAAGTGGTCTTTCCTTTGTCTTCCCCTTGTTTGTATCTTAATGTTGTTTTCACAGCATAGCAGATAAACATTGAGGAAGGGAAAATATTGTATGAACATAGTGGTAAGCACCTAACATATTATATCACTGTATCACCTGTTATTTTTTAAAACAGCTTTATTGAGGTATAATTCACAGACCAAATAATTCACCCTTTTTAAATGTATAATTCAGTTTTTCCTAGTATATTCAGAGGATTGTGCAAGCGATTATTACAGTCTAATTTTTGAATATTTTTGTCATCCCCAAAAGAAACCCCATACCTACTCAGCAGTCATTCTTCCTTCCTTTATCCCCCCAGCCCCTGTCAATCACTGCCTTATTTTCTTTGTCTATTGGGTATTCTGAACATTTCCTAAAAAGAGAATCGTGCAATATGTGGTGTTTTTTTCCCTAAGGAAGATTCGCCCTAAGCTCATATCTGTTACCAATCTTCCTCTTTTTTTCTTTCCTGAGGAAGATTAGCCCTGAGCTAACATCTATGCCAGTCTTCCTCTACTTTGTAGGTGGTTTGCCAGCAAAGCATGGCTGATGAATAGGGTAGGTCCATGCCCAGGATCTAAACCTGCGAACCCGGGCTGCTCAAGAGGATGCACCAAACTCAACCACTAGGCCACAGGGCCGGCCCAATATGTGATCTTCTGTGACTGCCTTATTTTACTTAGCATAGGGTTTACAAGGTTCACCCATAGCACAGCACACGTCAGTACTTCATTCATTTTTATAGCTGAATAATGTTCCATTATATGGATATACCAAATTTTATTCAGTTGATGGACATTTGAATAAGTTTCCATTTTTGGTTATTATGAAATAATGCTGCTCTGAACATTCGTGTACAAGTTTTTCAGTAGACATCTGTTTTCAGTTCTTTGGGGTGTATGCTTAGAAGTAGAAATGCTGGGTCATACAGTAATTCTATATGTAACTTTGAGGAATCATCAGACTGTTTTCCAAACCAACTGCACCTTTCTACATTCCCCCCAGCACTAGAGGAGGATTCTGATTTCTCTACATCCTTGTCAACATCTGTTATCTGTTATTTTAATTTTATCTATTCTAGTAGGTGAGAAGCAGTATCACATGGTGGTTCTGATTTGCGTTTCCCTAATGACTAGTGATGTTGAGCATCTTTTCATGTGCTTATTATCCATTTCTGTATCTTCTTTGGAGAAATGTCTAATTCATTTCCTTTGCCCATTTTTCGATTGGCTTAGTTCTTTTTATTACTGAGTTGCAAGATTTCTTTATAAGTTTTGGATAACAGTCTGTTATCAGATGTATGATTTGTAAGTATATTCTTCCATTCTCTAGTTGTCTGCACTTTCTTGACAGTGTCCTTTGAAGCACAAATGTTTTTAATTTTGAAAAGTCCAGTTTATCTATTTTTCTTATGCTCTTTGTGCTTTTGGTGTTTTATCAAAGAAGGCTTTGTGTAATAGAGTTTCACAAAGATTTACTCCTATGTATTCTTCTAGGAGTTTTATAGTTTTGCTATTACATTTAGACCTGTGGTCTACTTTCAATTAATTTTTGTATTTGATGTGAGGTATGGATACAAATTCATTCTTTTGCATATAAATATCCAGTTGTTTCAGCATCATTTGTTGAAAAGACTATTCTTTCTCCATTTTATTGTCTTGGCAATCTTGTCGAAATCAGTTGACCATAGCATAAGGATTAATTTTAGACTCTCAGTTCTATTCCATCTATCCTCATTTTACTACTGCAGTGTCCTGATTACTGAAGCTAGGATTTTGATAGAGAGTGTATTGAATCTGTAGTTCAATTTGGGGAGTATTGCTCTCTTAATGGTGTTAAAGCTTTTGATCCATGAATACAAATGTCTTTCCATTTACTTAGATCTTCTTTAATTTCTTTCAGCAATGTTGTTGTGTAGTTCCCAGCATATAAGTCTTACACTTCTTTTTAAAAAATTTATACCTTAGTATTTTATACTTTTGATGCTATTATAAATGGAATTATTTTCTTAATTTCACTTTGGAATTTTCATTATTAATGTATAGAAATACAATTGATTTTTATATATTGATCTTGTATCCTGCAGCCTTGCTAAACTCATTTACTTAATTTTTTTGGTGAGAGAGATTGTCCCTGAGCTAACTTCTGTGGCAGTCTTCCTCTGTTTTGTATGTGGGATGCTGCCAGAGCATGGCTTGCTTGATGAGTGGTGTGTAGGTCCACACCCGGGACCTGAACCTGCAAACCCCGGGCCACCAAAGCAGAGCACGTGAAAATCACTATGCCGCTGGCCCAGCCCCACTAAAGTCATTTATTAGTTCTAATAATTTTTAGTGAATTCCTTAGAATTTTCTATATAAAAAAATCATATCATCTGCAAATACAGATCATTTTACTTCTTCCTTTCCACTTTGGAGACCTTTTATTTCATTTTCTTGCCGAATTGTCCTGGCTAGAACCTCCAGTACAATGTAGAATGGAAGTGGTGAGAGTAGACATCTTGGTCTTGTAAAACATTCAGTCTTTCGCCATTAATTACAACTTACAATGTTAGCTGTAGGTTGTTTGTAGACGACCATCGTCAGGTTGAGGAAGTTCCTAGTTTGTTGAGTGTTTTAGAATGAAGAAATGTTGGATTCTGTCAAATCCTTTTTCTGCATCTACAGAGGAGATTATATGATGTTTATTCTTTATAATAATATAGTCTATTACATTAATTGATATTTGGATATTAGGTGAATCTTGCTTTTTTGAAATAAATACCTCTTGGTCATAGCTTTTTATATGTTTCTGGATTGAGTTTGCTAGTATTTCATAGAGGCTTTTTGCATCTATATTCATAGGGTGTATGGTCTGGAGCTTTCTTTCCTTGTGATATCTTTGTCTAGTTTGGTAGATGTCAGGGTAGTACTGGTATCATAGAATGAGTTAGGAAGTGTTCCTTCCTCTTCTAATTTTTGGAAGTTTGTGAAGGATTGGTATTTTTCTCTGAATGTTTGGTAGAATTCATCAGTGAAGCCATGTGGGTGTGGGCTTTTCTGCATGGGAAGCTTTTGAATTAAATTTAATTTCTTTACTTGTTATAGTTCTGCTGATTTTGTATTTCTTGTTGAATCAGTTGTGGTAATTTGTATCTTTAAGTAATTTGTCAACTTCATCTATCTAATTTGTTGGCATATAGTTGTTTGTATATTCCCCCATAATCCTTTTTGTTTTGTAAGCTCTATAGTATTTTCCCTTCTTTCATGCATTATTTTAGTTATTTAAGTCTTCTCTCTTTTCTTGGCCCATCTAGGTAATGGTTTATAATTTAGTGGATCTTTTTTTCCCCCAGTCTTTTAAAAATTACTTTACTGAGGTCATATTGGTTTATAACATTGTGTAAATTTCAGGTGTACATGATTATATTTCAGTTTCTGTATAGACTGCGTCGCGTTCATCACCAGTAGTCTGGTTTTTATCCGTCACCGTATGTATGTGCCCTTTTACCCCTTTCGTCCTCCCCACACCCATTTCTCCTCTGGTAACCACCAATCTGTTCTCGTTATCTATGTGTGTGTTTGTTTAGCTTCCACATATGAGTGAAATCGTGTGACATTTGTGTTTCCCTGTCAGATTTATTTTGCTTAGCATAATACCCTCAAGTGCCATCCATGCTATCGCAAATGGTACAATTTTGGGGTTTTTATATGGCTCAGTAGTATTCCATTGTGTATATATATCACATCTTTATCCATTCGTTTGTTGATGGGCGCTTGGGTTGCTTCCGTGTCTTAGCGATTGTGAATAATGCTGTGATGAACATAGGAGTGCATATATCTTTTTGAATTATTGATTTCATGTTCTTTGGATAAATACCCAGTAGTAGAATGGCTAGACCATATGGTATTTCTATTTTTAAATTTTTTTTTTAGTGAGGAAGAGTAGCCCTGAGCTAACCATCCATTGCCAATCTTCCTCATTTTACTTGGGGAGATTGGCCCTCAGCTAACATCTGTGGCAACCTTCTTCTGTTTTGTACGTGGGATACCTCCACAGCATGGCTTGATGAGCAGTATGTAGGTCAGTGCCCGGGATACAAACCTGCAAATCCTGGGTTGCCGAAGCAGAGTGAGTGAACCCAACCACTCTGCCACTGTGCTGACCCCCACTATTTTTAATTTTTTGACAATTCCCCATACTGTTTTCCATAGTGCCTGCACCAGTGTGCATTCCCACCAGCAGTGTGTGAGGGTTCACTTTTCTCCACATCCTCTCCAATACTTGTTATTTCTTCTTAATAATAGCCATTTGGTCAGATGTGATGTGATATCTCGTTATGGTTTTGATTTGCATTTCCCTAATAATTACTGATGTTGAGCGTCTTTTCATGTGCCTTTTGGCCCTTTCTGTATCTTTTTTGGAAAAATGTCTGTTTACATCCTCTGCCCATTTTCTTTTTGTTTTTAAAGATTTTATTTTTTTCCTTTTTCTCCCCAAAGCCCCCGGTACACAGTTGTATATTCTTCGTTGTGGGTCCTTCTAGTTGTGGCATGTGGGACGCTGCCTCAGCGTGGTTTGATGAGCAGTGCCATGTCCACGCCCAGGATTCGAACCGACGAAACACTGTGCTGCCTGCAGCAGAGTGTGTGAACTTAACCACTCGGCCATGGGGCCAGGCCCTCCTCTGCCCATTTTTTGATCAGGTTGTTTGTTTTCTTCTGGTTGA